CCAACGGCGAAGGAGGGATCCGCCGACGTGGCAGTCTTCGGCAGAGGCCTACACAGAAAAAGAACGATGACGTAGAAGTGGAGGGACAAAGCCTCCTTCTCGTCGAGGAAGAGGAAATTAACGACGAATCAAAACCCCTTTATGCTGGACACATTGTAGCTGTTATTGAACGTGTTGCTGGTCAAATGTTTTCGGGCACGCTTGGCCTGTTACGTCCCAGCAGCCAAGCGACCAAGGAGAAGCAAGAGGCTGAACGAGCCGCCAGAGACGGCGGCCGGTCGCACGACAATCGCCAGCAAGATAAGCCTAAGATTGTCTGGTTTAAGCCTACCGATAAACGTGTCCCTCTAATTGCAATCCCTACCGAACAAGCGCCACGAGACTTTGTAGAGAAGCATCAGGAATATGCCGATCGCATATTTGTTGCTTGTATCAAGCGTTGGCCCATTACTTCTCTACATCCCTTTGGTACGCTCGTTGAGCAGCTTGGGAAGATGGGTGATCTTAAAGTGGAGACTGATGCTCTCCTGCGCGACAACAACTTCTCATCCGATGAATTCTCGGAGGCTGTCTTGCGAAGTGTTGGCCTCCAAGATTGGTCTATTACAAAGGAAGACGAAGCTTCTATTGGGGCTCGACGGGATTTCCGCGACGAGAAGACTTTCACCCTTGACCTTGCCGGCACTGGGGAACTTGGCAGTGCCGTCCATATCAAGACTGAATCAGATGGAAAGATTGAGATTGGTATCCACGTACCGGACGTCACTCATTTCGTCAAGCCCAACTCTCTTGTCGATCGCGAAGCTAAGAAGCGTGGTACTGCTGTTCACCTTGTGAACCGAACCTGTGCCCTTCTTCCCCCTAGGATCGCTGCAGAGCTTTGCACCCTTACTCCGGGTGAGGATAGGCTTACTGTCAGTGTTGTCTTCCGCGTTAACCCTCACACCGGTGTGGTTGCGGAGAGTGACACTTGGGTTGGCAAGAGTATTATTAAGAGTGGTGCTACATTAGCTCTCAAGGAACTAGATGACGCCCTCACGAACCAGGCTGGGTTTACACATGATGTGGTCCAAGTCAAGGATGCCCAAATTCTTAATGTAAGTCTTTCTCTATTTTCCCCAAATCTTTGAGAGCTCTCTAATATTTCCCCTAGGCCGTTGCACAGAAATTCCGCGAGTCGCGTTTAGGATCTGAGGGAGAGCCTATGGCTCCTCTTAGACTCCTTCATCAACTCGATGATGAAAATATACCTATTCAACACAACATTTTCGACGCTACACCGGGTACCGAGCTAGTTGAAGAGCTTTTGCACAAGGTTAATGCGGCTGTTGCTCAGAAGCTTGCTCAAGGTCTCCCTGAGAAGGCTTTGCTTCGGCGCCAGTCCCCACCAAATGCCCGACGCCTACAAACATTCGTCGAACGCATGCGGGCACTTGGTTACGATATTGATACTACTAGCAGCGGAACCCTACAGAATAGCCTTTTCAAGGTTGATGATTCTGATATCCGCAAGGGCATGGAAACACTATTACTTAAGAGCATGCATCATGCCAAGTACTTTATCACTGGCAAGGTTAACAAACAGCTTTGGCCTCATTATGCACTCAATCTACCTCTTTATACTCACTTTACCGCACCCACAAGGCGCTATGCTGATATCATCGTTCACCGTCAGCTTGAGGCTGTCCTCTCGGAAGGCAAGGTTGAATATAATGACGATATCGAAAACCTTGTGAAGACGATTGAATCTTGTAACACCAAGAAGGAATCGGCACAAAATGCCCAGGAGCAAAGTATTCACATCGAGTCATGCAGAATCATGGATAAGAAACGCCAGGAGGTTAACGGCGATCTTATCAGCGAAGGAATTGTTATCTGTGTTTACGAATCTGCTTTTGATGTTTTAATCCCCGAATGGGGTTTCGAAAAGCGTGTTCACTGTGACCAGTTGCCGCTTAAGAAGGCCGAGTTCAGGAAGGAGAAGAGAATTTTAGAGCTCTACTGGGAGAAGGGTGTCCCAAGTTCAGCATATGTACCTGAAGATGAACGACCCAAGGCGGGTGCATCGCAACGCATCTCGAACGCAATAGCGGCTGCTAGGCAGGCAGAAGAGGCCGAGAGGGTTAAGAAGGAACGAGAGGAGGCTGCACGGAAGCAAACGGAGACTGGCACGATGCCCACGGATGCTGCCGAAGCTCTATTCGACGATGATGACGACAATGCCTCTGATATTACTGAGGCTATGGCGGGTGCTTCATTAGCCGAGCGTCCGACTCAGAGTGTTCCAGGCTCACCGACCCGGTCCTCTTCGAACCCCGGTGTCCTTCACCGAACCAGGTCCGATTCAAAGGTGCCCATGGCAGAAGCCGTAGAAACTCGCTTGACCAACAAGGAGAAGTATCTCAAGCTATTTGCATTGAGAGAAGAAGGTGGCGAGTACATCCAAGATGTAACAGAGATGACCAGAGTGCCTGTGATCCTTAAGACGGATCTCAGCAAGAGCCCACCGTATGTGAACCTAAGCTTTTTTGTGGAGTAAATAAACTAATCAAACGCAGGTGCTTGACGATACGTTCGCTTAACCCGTATGCTCTATGAGTCTTCCTAAAGACGATGTGCTTTGCTTGACGTGTGTACGGTTGGACGGAGCAAATGGACTTTGGGAGCATTGGAGCGATTGGTATGTTGCTTGAGTGATGTAGAGCGAAGTAGCCAAGAAGAAAATAGGGTAGATTGTAAGGCCGCGACCGCGACCGAAACCCGAGAAGTACAGCTCTTACTGTGTTGATAAAAGTGTTTCATGAAGAGGCAGATAGAACTAGGAAGCTGCCACAGTCAACAGAAATATACGAGATCGTGCTATGAATAAGATCGCTATGAAGAAAATCCAACCCTTCCCCAATGTCTGACTATGTGCGATTTATAGGTGAATGACATAAGTATACATTTAACATGACCCACGACCCATGACAATAAATTCACATCTTTAGATCCTATTTGAGTATTCATATGGCCAAAATCGGGCTCACGAGAAGTTTATAGCGGCTACTTGGGAGAAATATTTGTAGTTTTCAGAGCTACGACGGGCCTTTGCTTCTGCCGGCATGATGCATGGAATATCTCAGGCAGTCAGACAGATCCAGTAAGATGGATCTCCGGATGTGCAACGTGCTACAGCTGCCGCTGTTTTATGTACCTTTCCGAGATGTGAACCCCTGGTTCTTCAAGCTTGATCGACGTTGACTGCCTCGAAACCTCGCACATATTATGTAGCGGTCCGTCTCGCTCCCCTCTCTTCTCACGTGCCATATTCTCTAGGTATTAGGGTTTTGGAACCAGATTTGGCCGAGCTACGGAATGCGTTAAGAAGGAGTAGATCTCGTCATTTCTGGGGTTAGCACGGATATGGAGATGCCCTGTGTGTGTGTGTGTTAGGTTAGGTTAGGTACATATCTAGATGCAACTAACCTAGGATTGTGACAGCCCAAAAGACGGCCCTTCGTCAATTTTGTTCGTGTTCATGTCTTCTTTCTGGTCCGTTCGCCGAACCGTAGTATGCGTAACGGAGGTTAAGTCAAGATTAGCGGTGTTAAGAAACGCGCGATACGACATTTGCCCGTTCCTGTCATTTCAATATGGCATCCACCAATGAGAACCCTGGTTGGCGGTCTACCAGGTCCTTGGGTACCTTTATTCTTATATGCTTAGACGAGTTAGTTGCCTTTTTTATTTTTTTTTGTTTATTTTTTGTTGTTTACTATTTACCTAGGTAGGTAGCTATGATAAATATTCAATGCCTCTTTACCTAGGAAGCAACTATATTCAATAACTATAGACTGTCAAAATCAAATTGAAATGTATAACCAGAAGTAGATCAAATTCTAATAAGTCTCAACACGATCTGTAATCAATAGGATCTGAAAGCAGATCCGACATCCGCTGCCAAGCCGTATCATCACATTGCGCCGGTGCATTATGAAGCTTAACTTATTCTACTTATCAATCAATCCTGAACAGTCTGCATCACTTATTAGTATGTATGAACAAAAGAGTTTACTCGGGATCGTAGTAACGGACGAATCAATCGGAATAGTTGAGGCTCCAGTTTCAGGGTTCGGCTGGATAGATATCCGCTCTTTAAAACAATATCTGAAGCAAACTGGACTGCAAAAACCCCGTGCCCAGCAGTGTCTCCTTGCCCGAAGTAGTTAGAAGACCCCTGGTTCTCCCCCCGACAACTTCTTGGCTGTGACCCTTCGGACCGGGGCTTAATAAACTCTTTTCATCTCAACTTTTAAGTTATGAGCCTTGATCATCAAAATTACTTCTCATTGGTCCGGGCGCAAACATATCTCATTATCCACGTTTCGTTTCTTCCTATCTAAGGTTATTGTCAACTTCCCGCTGTCTATAGAACCCTGTCTTTAATTGATCCCGAGCGAGCTATGGAATCTAGATTACCCGGGAGCGCTGGGGCTGCCCCTTGAGTCTCGGAGTCGGAAGCGCTTGGAAGGATGGGTAACATAGTAATACCAAATGAAGATACCAGTTCCTATTGTCAAGGAGCCTCAAGGGGGGCCGATGCTTAGGATCGCCCTGCCGCCGGCCTACCTTCTTTCCGTGACCCGCAACGTCTATCACCTCCTAAAGCTACCAGTTGGCAACTGGTTTTAATGAAGTCCCATTTCCCATTTTCTAACCTGTTTCTTCTCCGTTCCTTTCTCATCCCGTACATTTTCGTGTCCAACTCCGAACTAAAAGCGCCGGTCTGCTTCCCGCGGGATCAACGTCTTCACTCTCCTTTTCGACACCTTGTAATTCTTGTAATACCCAGGTGGGATTCTTTCTAGAACAGCTAGCCTGGTCTTGTTTCGATATTTTTTTGCTTCGACGCTCTTTTATTTACGACTCTTACGACGCCGTCAACTATTAGCCTGATCCACTTGAAAAACGAAACGAAAACGAAGTTAAACGGACGTATTCGATATTAATCAGACAAGATGCCTTCCTTCATGAAGACTATGGGTGTTGTGGCGGGATTGGCTGCTGTTGCTTGTGCTCTACCGGCCCAACCGAAGTTGACCATAAGACAAAGCGAAATCTATGGCCTCGCTAAACGACAAAATGCGGCTGCTGCTGCCCTCGGCCTGGCGGATGTTGATATCCTGCAATTGTAAGTCATACTTTTACCATCCATTACAAATACATGGGTTACTAACTAGTATACAGTGCCCTAACCCTGGAGTGGCTTGAGGCTACTTTTTACCAGCAGGGCTTTGCCAAGTTCAGCGACGACCAGTTCGTTGCCTTAGGCTTAAGCGCTACCCAGCTGAGCGATCTTAAGGGAATTGGTTCCAGCGAAGCATCCCACGTCGGTCTGCTACAGAGTTCTATTGCACAGGCTGGTGTCCAACCTGTCCAGCCCTGCGAGTACGACTTCGGCTTTACTGATGCCGCCGGTATGGTTGCTACTGCATCCATCCTCGAGAGTGTTGGTATTTCTGCCTACCTCGGTGCTGCGCCCCTTGTCTCGGACAGCAAGATCCTCAGCACAGCTGCTTCTATCCTTACCATCGAGGCTAGACATCAGTCCTTTGTTCGTATCGCTTTGGGAGTCGCTGCCTCTCCATCTCCCTTCGATACTCCTCTGGGACCTAAGGCCATCTTCTCCTTAGCTGCCCCGTTCATCAAGTCATGCCCTGCTGGTTCAAACTTGATCCTGACCGCTTTCCCGACTCTGACAATGACCACTCCTGCTCCGGTAGCCGGTGTCATGGCCCTCGCACAGGGAACTATGCTGAACTTCCAAAGCGACGCGGCATCCGGAGCCAAATTCTGCGGTTTCACCAACTCCGCCGCGCCGGGTGGCACTGCTTTCGCCGCTTTCGATCCTGCTCAGGGTTGCGCTCTCCCGCCCAACCTAGCTGGCACTGTCTACGTCACTCTCACCAGCGCCGCCGCCGCCGACGGTGTCATAACTGACGACATCACACTCGCTGGACCTTTAGTCATGAACCTCAGCTAAACGTGTCGATACGGGAGTTTGTAAATAGGAAGTTCCATCTAATAATGCGTCATTATACGATGCAAGACTTTAATGCTCTTTTGGTGAGGACCTAAAGAGGTCGGGGAAAAAGAAGAAAACAGGCACAGCGAGACAAACGAGCGAGGGGTTTCGGTAGCTCGCACAGTACCGTACCACCAGCTTAGACAATATATCTCGTTTGCGTCATCGTCGGCATGCAGCCCGCGCCCCGTTTGTATGTAGTATTTATGTCACGACAGGCATCCAAGACTCCCAAGTCTTGCTTGTACATATACCACTTACCTATCATCATCAGAGACCAGGCGTCCGAAAGGAGGAGTAGCCTAAGGCAGGCTAGAAGGTTTTCTTTTCTACGTCAATTTTTTTTCTTCAACTATACTTTTTATTTGTAATAGGGCATGTGTTAACGAGGATCTTGATTTGAGAAGGAAATCGAGATACTGAAAGGTGGCGATACCCAATAGCGCGGATTAGACAGTCAGCTTTACTCTTTCTCGAAGAAGCTGAGTAATGCTTTAAATATGAAGACGTAAAATCATACTATTGTTCTTGTGTGTGAAGTGATTATAACTTGCTGATTCGAGGGAGTTCTCCTGATGTTGACGATGTAGTGTCGACGGTTGTAGAGCGGTGGTAATTTAGCAACCCACCCACCACTTATGCTTGTCTAAGGTTACCTTAGGATTATGTCTTGTTACCTTATGCAAAACTTTCCTGTCTTACAAGAAGCAGCAAAAGACAGAAGTAAACGGCAAAGGACATGAATCGACATTAGAAGAGATAGATAATTAATATGATACTGTAAAAAGATAGTGCGGTATAAACCTTAAGCTTTTATGTTATCCGGGGGGGTCCCCTTATTATTTTACTTAGCCAGACGCCACAGTCTGTAGCTATAGAAGATGTAGGAAGCAATAGCTTAAGGATTGAAGCAACACTTTTGACAAGAATGATAGGAAAGGAAATCACGAAGATTTATAGATAAGACTCTGGCCCCATTACTACCATACTAAAGTAAGAGGTCTTTAGAATGCTTGTATTGCATACACTTTTCATGCTGCTATCTCTTTCCAAATTACCTAGGTAAATTAAATAGTTTTCTTTAAATTCACGACCGAGACTAAGAGCTCTTAGAAGATGCTTGCCTGGACTTTGTTTTGTTCCCTTACAACTGGCGTGCAATAGATTAATGAGATATTAAATGCTTGACCACTGGGAAATTTTAGATCATCAAGATTTCTTAGAATAGGCTTCTTTATACATTTAGATTTCTTATTTGGGATTCTAAAGCTGAGCGGGCGTTGCTTCTCTTTCAATAGAAATCAATAATGGAGGTAGATTCCTTAAAAATTAAGATTTAATTGCGGAAGGTAGAGTACACCTACCTACTTGTCGCGTACTTGTCGCGTACTTGTCACTCGCAGTTACTTCAATAACCAACTACCCAACCTTAGGTACTCAGAAATATATCTCTAAGGAAAACCAAAACCATTTAAACTCTAATTTTAATTCATTACTTCTCTTTCCTCTATTGCATATTCAATATGTTGATATCTAACACTGCACGCCCTGGAACTACGAGCAAGTAGCAATAGCAAAATCGGCAACCTGTCAAGGTTTTTATTTTGATTTTTTAAGAAAAGACCAGAACTATTAGACATTATTACCTGAGAACTTCCTCAGATGCTTTTGTTGTGCTTGGCCAACGTAGACCCCCGATTGCAGTTCATATGCTAATCTGACATGTAAGTACCAAATATGCTCTATATATTTCTACATTGTACGAACGACGCATATTTATGATGACAAATATCCTACTTGGGAGGCCCTACGAAGGTGTCAACGACCCACACGTACTCATTCCATCTGAGATTTGTTTCCTCGTATTTTGTTGTTTTTGTGTACTATACTACCGTATTAGCTAGCTGCTAACTATAAACATTAGGTATGCTAGGGGCTAGGCAGAAATTGTCATCATCACCAGCTCTAAGATGCCAGTCCTCTCCGTGAGACTTTGGATTTTGAAGGGTTTATACCATGACGACCTGAAGCAACCCCGAATAAATGCTTACATTTATTTGTTTATATCGTTTTATTACTTATTATTGATGGTACTCGATACATCCCGGGCTACGAATAGTGATACGCGCCTTTTAATATCGGCATAACTGGGCAAGTTGTTTGATGTTGACGATTGCTTAAGGTATTCACGTAGGTACCTAAGTAATCTATTCTATTGGTATATTTCCTTACAATGGTTTCAACTTCGGCCCTCTAGTTCTCGGAACTCTTCGCCCCCTTGATATCCGCCTCTGTAGTGGCGTATGAGCGGGCAACCCCCTTCCGATAGATATACACCTATTTATTGAAATCATAAAACCCGAAACCATGTCCTGATCCGACATAAATGTATAATATTATGACTTTTAATTTATACTCATTTAATAGTCATAAAAGCCCTTACCGCTCTTCTTCCCTAGCCAGCCAGCATCTACCATCTTAGCGAGAAGTACACTCGGTCGGTATTTTGAGTCTCCTGTCTCCTGGTGAAGGACTTTCATGATAGCTAAGCATGTATCAAGTCCAATAAAGTCAGCTAGTTGGAGCGGTCCCATCGGTACATTCGTGCCGTTCTTCATGATGGCATCAATAGCATCTCGGTCACCAACGCCGGTTTCTAGACATATCACCGCTTCGTTGATATACGGCATCAGGATACGGTTCGCTAAGAATCCTGGGGAATCCGCAGACACAGAGGGTATCTTCCCCATGGCCTTACAGAAGGCAACAGCAGTCTCGAGGGTCTCGGCGCTTGTCTGTAACCCGCTAATGATCTCGACACCCTTCTGGATGGGTACGGGGTTCATAAAGTGAGTTGATACTACGCGAGAACTTGCTGACGTGTCGGTGGGGTCCTTAGTAGTCGCTGCGGCGATCTTCGTGATGGAGATGGACGATGTGTTGGTTGCTAGGATAGTGTGCTTCGGGCAGATTTCAGCAAGCTTGGCGAATATGTCGAATTTCAGCTGCGGAATCTCCGGCACGGCCTCAATTACAAAATCAACCTTTGAGAGCTCTTCAATAGCTGTGGTAGGCAAGAGCCGAGATCTTGCCTCATCCGCTTGCTCTTGTGTGATGCGTGACTTAGAAACATCCTTTGATAATAATTTTTCTGGATATTATTGAGTACTCCAATTCATATTGAATGAACGTCATGATTGGGAATAATACGACGAACCTGCAAACCCAATTCCTTTATCAAGTGAAGCCTTTGAAGAGTCCACAAGTGTAACGGGAACACCAGCTCTCTGAGCGGCGACCAAAGCTATACCTAGGCCCTGAGAAAATGTGAGCTGAGTGGTGAAGACGTTGAATTACATGTGATAGAAGCAAGTTTTACCATTTGACCCGCGCCTATGACGCCTAGGCTCTTCACCTCAGCTCCATATCGAGCTGGGCTAGAGCTAAAGTACCTAATTTGACGGGTGAGCTGAGAAGCTCTTATTCTCCCAATTGCGCTCGCCATTATATAAATTTAGAATGACACTCTAACACTGAGTAGAGGTAAGTTAGCGAGTTGTGACGACTTGTAAGTTAAGATGAGGGATGAACCGAGGGCGCACCTCATCCCAAAGCTATCCCAGAACCTCAGCCCAAAGTCTAACCCAATTAAGCAAGTGTGGACCTTTTCCCACCCCAATAGTACTAACGCACCCAAAACTCGACTACCATTTCATTAACATTATATTTATACAAATATATACTTTTATACATTAGTATGATATTTAATGAAATATAAATAATTTTATGTAATTAATTAAAAATCGATTAATAATTAATTGTTAATCGATTACGTATTAATTTTTAATTAATTTATAATTGATTATATAAATCAAGTAAAAAATAAGGAATAGGTAAAGGTATACATTTAATTGATTAAATGTCAAGCGCTATAATATAGGGAATTTCGTGGTTGTGGCGCGCTGTAATATAGGGAACTTAGTGGCTACAACGCGCTGTAATTACAGGGCATTTAAGCTTATATTTTAATGAGACACAAAAGCTCACCCCAAAGTCACCTGATGTACGGATCGGTAAAGCTCACCCCAAAGCGGGGACCCTGTCAATTGTAACCAATCAAACCTTTGGATCCAAGGTCTTAGCTTTTGCCAAATCGGGTTAGACTTTGGGCTGAGGTTCTAGGATATCTTTGGGATGAGGTGTAGACTCGGATGAACCGGCTAGTTACCGGATAGCCTCGGGATACGGATATCTGTGGGGCTTATGACAAAGGTACCTTGTATAGTGCACAAGCCACAAGACCCCTCGGCCCCACTCCAATGGATTGGAAGAGGATTGGCGCGTCTTTCTGTAAATTAAAACGCGTCTTAACACGCGTTTTCAATTTATACCAGCTCAAGCCTTCCCCTTCTTGGCATTGATCATTAATGACGACTATTCAAGATTGAACAACTGTGAGAACTTAGGTGTAAGGAAACAATTCCTCACCGCCGACATGGAGTCTTCGGATCGTACTACTACTGATGTAGTGCATCCCGAAGTTCGGGCGCACGTCAACAGTCTTGTCTCAGCTGTTAGTAGTTTTTGCTGCGTCCCTTTTGCTAATAATAAAATACTAATTGCGATATGTAGCTTGGTGGTTTCAGTGCTGACGATGATGGACGCTACGTATTTGGAGACTCTGCCCTAGAGGTTTTACGTGATATTAAGAAATGGATTCGATTCTACGACGAGAAAACGAACCGAATGGATGTTGCGCGATGCTTGTCCGAAGCGAACATAATTGAGGGCGATTTATTACATATTATCGCGGCTTGGTCCGAAAACGAGACCGACAATAAATTTAGGGCGAGGGCTGCTCTGGCATGTTTGGAGATTATGGTTCCGTTGACATGGCCACTGGAACGGGATCTCGACCAGATGACCATCAACCACCATCGACATCTCCCGGTGCTACAGATTGCCCAGGTCGGCTATAAGCGTGCTATAATAAACTTCGATGCTGCCCAGGTTCTTCATACCGCTGTACGGGTTGCATTACCTTCTATGGCTCTGTCCCGTGGTGATCGATCTGGACGTGACGAAGGCATCATCAAGCTAATCTTACTATTCATACGAAATGTTGCTATGATTTCGCCACCCCCTGGAATCAAATACGACGGCGACGAATCTCAGATCTCGCGATCGGCTCTAATTGATGCGTTTTCTTATCAAGATATTCTACTTACTCTCCTTACGATTGCTTCCAATACGGGGGAGGATTTTAACCAGGAAGGCATCATTGTGATGGAGATTATATTCCATCTAGTCAAGCGTGTTGATGTTTCTAAGCTGTTCATGGATGAGAAGCAGCTTAGCAAGACACAGTCGAACGAACTCACAGCAATGATGAATAAAGAGGCAGCAATGCACCGGCCTTACAATCGAAAGGCCCCATCTAGGCATAATCGATGGGGGACTATGGTCTGGGTGGATCGAGGCGATGGCAAGGTTTCAACTATCAGTGGCCAGGATGCCTTGCTGGATGCGGCGAAGAGACAGCATAAGATGGACAACAGCAAGGTATATCGACCTCCACGGAGACCAAGGAAAGAGGAAATGGAGCCAAAGGATCTAGGCCCTCCAGTATCACTAAACGTTAGAGCGCGACAGCAGCTCAAAGGTTTCGTGGAGGAATTCCTAGATTCTGGCTTCAATCCTCTCTTCCAGCACGTCCGAAAGAAGCTTGACGAGCAAAAAGACTATATCTTCGAATATCACTCGCGTCAATTCTTCTATCTAGTATCCTGGTTTCTGGAAGCTGAAAGAGTACGGAAGAAGGCCGCGAAGGATCGCAAGTCGGCTAGCGCTGAAGATTTTGGTTATTTCAACCTTGTTGCTGGGGTGCTCAATCAGCAAACATTTATTACGTTGAATAGAGCCATTGGAGATTCGTTAGAAAGCAAGCGTTGGCAAGTGTTATGCGCTGCTATGCGATGTTTTACTCAGATACTTTTGACAGTTCAAGAGATGTCAGAGTCAGGTAATGAGGAAGACGAAGAGATTGCAGATAATATTCTTAGCCGCATTTTTTACGAAGAGGAGACGCACGACAGAATTGCGAATATTGCAAGGAACTACAAGGATCAAGGCTTCGAGTATCTCGACGCTTGCACTGAACTTACACAGACTTACCTTCGCGTTCTGGAAGCGTATTCGAAACAGAACGTGGATATGCAAGTACGGTCAAGACGACGTGTCCGAAAAAAGAAGAAGGCCGCGAAAGCCACTGGAGATGACGAAGAGAACCCCGTTGAAGAGGAAGACGATTCCGAGAACGACCAGGCGAATGCGGAACGAACATCAAGCGAACGAAAGTTCGACTTCGGTCGTTTTGTGAATCGGTTTACCCCTCAAGGCGTGGTGGATACGTTCGTCCAATTCACGAAATACTACCAGGACCTAAATGATTCTCAACTGAAGCGGGCACATCGGTACTTTTACCGCATAGCCTTTAAACAGAATATGAGTGTTATGCTCTTTCGAATCGACATTATACAATTATTCTACAGTATGATTAAGGGCCAGGAACCTCTGGATAAGGGCTCAACAATGTTCAAGGAATGGGAGGAGCTGGCGAAGCAGATTCTGAAGAAGTGCATCCGCAAAATCGAGGAGCGGCCACAATTGATCATCGAAATGCTGTTCTCTAAAATCAATGCTACAGCACATTACTTGGAGTATGGTTACGAGAAACAGACCCTATCTACGTCGCAGTCCAGGCCGGGAGCCGAGTTAGAGTTCCGACATATCGAGGAGCGGGAACAGCAAATTGCGATTGCTGTTGGTGTTTTGCTGGATAAAAACCTGGCTGATCATATCAACTGGGTTAAGGGCCAGCTATCTACAGCAGAAACCGAGAAAAGGGCCTGGGAAGCAGCTGACAAAGCAATGCCCTCAATAGAAGGAGCTGGTAATGAAGGCGAGCAGCAGAATGAAGAGAATGCTCCTAAAGAATCTCCTCCTATTTGTAGGTTTCCCCAGTCAAGTTCTAATGAGTTGCAACTAATACGTATTCAGCTATACGCCCGGATAATGATGCTCGTCGCACTGCCATGTTCAAGAATTCTCATCTCCGACTTCTCATGAAGCTCGTTGGTTTTGAACGACTCGTTCCAAGCGTGGACGAGACTCCTGAATCTGCTTGGGTTATCCCGCCGCACGTGACAGCCGACCAAATACAGGATTCCCTCGACCTAATCAAAAAGGCCGAGTTCAATCCGCCAACATTCGACGACGGCAAGCTAGCTGAAGACCAGCTAAGGAGGAAGGCGGCAGTACGGAAGAAGGCAGTCTTCGATGACGATGACGAAGGTATCGCTGACGACGACGACGACGAAATTCTCTTCCCTGCAGGCGGCCCAACGGCAAGAAAGGTAGCAGACGAGTTTCTAGATAAGCCGAAGAAGACCCGACGGCGGCGACGGCGCGGCAGTGATGCAGAAGAGCCTAGCGAAGATCAACTAGAGGAGAAAGCGCGTGCACGTAAGGAACGTGAAAAAGCCAAGGCGCGGCGGTTTAAGAGTGACTTGTATGTGCACGCGAGTGACGACGAGTCGGACGATGGAGAGCGGTGGGCCGAGTTTTACGCCAACGAAGAACGCATTCGGAAGCGGCAAAGTGCGACGGCGGCGAAAAACGCGGTTGCAGTTACGACATCCGCTGTCCCGAAACAGGCCGAGAAGCGCAAGGCGCAGGAGCTACTGGGGCACGATAGCGATAATGATGATGATCTCATCTTACCGCAGGGGTCGGAGGATGAAGATGAAGATGAGGGTGAAAGGAGAGAGAATGGCACGCCAAGGACGGATGATACGCCGTTGTCATCAAGTCCGCGTGCGGGCTCGGTATCGAGCGCGAAGAGAAGGCGTTTGTCGAAGGAGCCTCCCAGTTCGGCACCGGCCGCTACTGATGAAGATGTCGAGATGGCAGATGCAGATGCGGATGACGATGATGTGCCTGCTGCGAAAGCGCCTACGAGGCGGCGGGCTAGGGCGGGATTTATTGTTGATAGCAGCGACGAAGAATAATGATTACATAGGATGGGAAATATTGCATAGTCGGTGTTTAGGTGTGATTTAGCATAGGGCCGGGACGTGTTATGGACGATGCATAAACAAGCAAGCTTAATGAATGAAGCCTGAACATTCACAACGGCTATTAAAGATGTTTATTGAACATCGATATATTGTGTTTTGTAATTTTGTTATTAAGGAATGACTGGAACTATTCCAAGTTACCCGCTGGTCACATCCAAATCCAACTGTAATAGATAGCTAATTTACAAGAATAACTTTAAAAGTTGATATTAAGGATGGATGGTTTCAATAACTAGCATTCTTCCAATTCCGTCTTGATGATCCATGCTCTTTGCTTTAGTTCTTCTTCTATTTCAGGGTTAGTGTATTAGGTACTTAAGAATACACGATGATAAAGAAAAATGCAGTAAATAGGAGGTTAACTAACAGGGCAGTTTGCGCATCCGCAGTTCTGCTCGCACTTGCAGGTGCCAGAGCTGGCGCAGGTGCAGGAGCCGGCGTTGTTGCAGTTGCAAGCCATTGTGGGATTATTATTGGACTGTTTTAAATAGTCAAAGTAGTTATAGTAGGAGGTAGTAATGCAGTTGTAATCTTTAACGACTATGTTGCAATAGATGCTATTCAATTGCTGATTGGTTGGAAGGTAGTCGAGATGGGGGGGGGAGAAAGTTGGCCATCAAGGTTGGAGGAAAGGGGGGTTATTTATAATACCTTGGGTGTGTTATGTAATAGTTGCTTTTAGTTAAGTACATACTTGATGGGAGAGCTATGGGAATATGGCCTCCCTTGGTTTAGGTAGTTTCTTTGTTCAGAGCGAGAGACTAGTCCATGTCTCTGACGACACGATGCGGTATGGGCTCCGTTATCGTATGCTGGTGGTGTAAACGGTACGTCAGCGGCCCCCAGCTGAGATGTGCTGGAGAGGGGGGAGCTGGGCTTTGACACCTATTTTAGTTTAGGGAATGGACTAGCGGTAGCCACTTACATATGAGGGGGTGCTGAGACTGGCTCTCCATCAGGTGGTCGTTCGATTACTGTTGATTATTCGTTAAGAGTTTTGGTCACAAGGGATCGAATATGATAGAACTAGCTCTTAGTGGTGCGGCATAAGCTTGGTGGCTTAAGACATATGTAACTTATTACACAGACAACTTAGCTTAGCTACCTTTATAAAAGATGTTTAAAAGTTGGTCGTGTTTAAAACATTGGCTATGCTATAATACTAACTATCTAGGTAGCCATACACGCCTCAGACGAGATATTCATAGGTTCATATAGCCTTGCTCGTCAATACAACTATCTGCAAACCGGGAACCAACCGGCCATCATCCTTCCCATCATTTCATTCCAATAATGATGACTATGACTTAGTAATAGGTAGTAATAGTAGTAAAGTGTCATACAAAAAAAGTATAGGTAATTAGACATCTCCGGAAAAGCTAGCCATGCCACGCCATCCGTGTTTTAAGCTTGGGTTTAAAGTAGTTACGCTTAAGCCTTGCTTCGTTGGCCGTAGGCCTTGGTGACGTAGTCGCCGTCCTTGACGATAAGGTCCTCAAGGCGGTAGTCGTGACGGCCGGACAGGTAGCTGTCGAGGATGGCCTTGGTGCCGGCGGCGTAGCGCTTCTGTGCGTCGATTGATGTGCCCGACATGTGAGGTACCATGGCGTTGCCGCCGCCGAAGGGGTTCTTGGCGTATCGCAGAACGTGGTCCTTGGGCGCCGGCTGGGGGAACCACACGTCACCACCGTAGCCTCGTAGGTGGCCCGTCTTGAGCGCCTCGGCTACGTCTTCCTTCACGACGATGGCGCCGCGAGCAGTGTTGATCAGCCATGAACCTTGTGAATGTTAGTTAAAGTGTCGTGTGAGCGTCGAATAGGGATGTTTGTGTGTATACTCACCAGGCTTCATCTTAGCGATGAGGTCCTTGTTGAATAGGCCGCGGGTCTTCTCGTGCAGAGGGCAGTTGATGGTGACGACGTCGCACTGGCCAAGCATCTCCTCGAGGCTGTCGACGCGGCGGCAGCCGATCTCCTTCTCGACCTCGGGCCTCAGGGGCTGGTAGTCGTAGTATAGGAGCTCCTTGCAGTCGAAGGCCTTGAGGCGGCGCAGGACACGCTCGCCGATGCGGCCGACGGCGACCGTGCCGACAACCTTGTTCTCCAGGTCGTACTCGTTCTTGGCGGCGGCGGCGACTTCCCACTCGCCGGCTTCGATCATCTCGTGCGCCGGCACGAAGTTGCGGACTAGGACTAGGATCGTCATTACCACGTGCTCTGCTACCGACACGACGTTAGAGCCTGTCACTTCGGCTACCGTGACACCGCCGTTCGTCTTGTTTGCCGCGTTGAGGTCCACATGGTCGGAACCAATACCGGCAGTGATGGCGAGCTTTAGCTTCTTAGCCTTGGCTAATCGCTCGGCGGTTAGGTAGCCTGGGTGGAAGCTATCATGTGTTAGTTTAGTTTTGGTTTGTGGTAATTCTCTTAATCGTATAGTGATAGTAGTGTAGTGTCTTGCTCTTCTCTCCACTCAAGCTCAAGTACATTTCTATTACGATATCGAAACTATAAAGAGACAGTTGAGGTCACATACGGAGTAGTAATGATGATCTCAGCGTCTACGAGCTCCTTGTCGAAGGTGGAGTTCTCTCCCTCCTTGTCGGATGTGGTAACGAGTGTGTGACCCTGATCTTCGAGCCATTTTCGGATACCAAGTTCGTTCTCGGTCGTTCCCAGTAGCTCGGGCACCTATAATTGGACGGAAGAAAGATAGGTTAGTTCATGCTCATGCTGTAAAAGTGGAGAGAGGCAAGTAAATCGTGATGGGACTTCAGAAACTTCGGGGTTGTAGAGAGAGTCGCTTGTTCCAATTACCCCTCATCCTCTGCCCCCTTTTCCCCCCTCCCTCTCTTTCAACCATTACATCTGCCGCTACCTCTAGTTACCAAAGACAGACTATTGCATGTACGTTTCAGCCAATGACGCGTCAAATCGCCGTCATTGGACGGACAGTTTGCGCATGGCGAGAAACGGTATTGCGGGGATACGGCAAAAGAGGTATAAGAGGGCGAGTTTTAGAATTGGAGTAAAAGGGAAAAGGAAGAAAAAAAAGGAAAAAACATCATGATGGAATTGGGTAATAAGAATATTGTCTTATTTTTCTTTTTTTAATCACTTACCTCTTCGGCATGCTTGCCTCCATCGTATAGCACTAATAGAACTTTGACCTTTTCACGTTGCGTAGTTAGTAATCGCGTCGAAGCAGGAACTCGTAACGATGGGGGATTAAATAGGGTCGCGGATGAACTCTTATACGCCAGAGCTGCGCGTGACGTCAGATCAGCGCGCAGTGGCATATAAGACCGAGCATTGCGAACAGAACGAGCTGCTGCTGTGGTCGTAGAGAGTGCCCGCGTAGAGATGGGACGAATGCAGCAGGAGGAAAGGGGACGAGCTAATAATACCATTTTGAATGTCTTTTGAAGCTTTATCTAATAAGACTAATAGCTTCTGATGTGAGTTCGTTGGACAAGTCGGGATGTTGTACGTGTGTAGAGCTTATTGATGAAGCAATTTGCTAGTCCTGTTTAAGCTTCTCTGGGAAAAGAAACTTGATGACGAAGATATGAAAGTAGAATGATTAAAAGAGAAGCATAGAAAGAATTGTCTACGATGGAGGGAGATTGCGACCATTTATGGGTTGGAGCTCACTTCGCGCAACAAAGAGCAAAGAGCAATGAGCAATGGTCAAGGGGGACCAGAACGGCATCTTTCGTCCGTAGCGATTCAAACATAGAACAGCTCGGGAAGCGGAGAGGTGGACACTATCGGGTAATGTTTTAGCTGCTCTTTTTGAAGTACAGAGCTAGCCAGAGGTAGAGATAGTCCCCGTCGTTTGATAGTTCTGCAGAGCGCGGTCACGTAGTAGTCGTAGTAGTCTCCAATATGGCCACTAGGTATGCATAACAACTAGGAACTATGGCTACACTCCGCTACCGTATAGTCTACCTGATCTGATGTAGTCCTTGTACACAGTGAGCTAAGTGGAGGTAACGACATTGAGGTACAGATGAGGCATTCCGAGGCTACAGATAGGGGGTTTATTGTCTCACAGCCTCCAAACGCACGTTGGGTGTATCTCTTTGAGCCTGTCCAACCCGCGTGGGTGGGTGTATATCCCGAATATTGGATCACAAAGGGACTCGGTTGCCCGCCGGGAAGCTTCGGCGATGTTTCGGTGTGTGAGGCAAGGGTCCCGCACTTCTGATGCCCCTCGTCCTTGGGGACGGACTAGTGGACGCCTACCGTTAGGTTATCGGTCAGCTCTGGTAATGCCTAGGCCTAGGGAGTAGTTATGCTAGCTTATGAAAACGGCTATATCCGCTTAATGGAGAGGCTATGCGTTTAAGATTGATATGGCCACCTACATACCTACCTACCTACCTAGGTATTACATAAGGTAGGTAGTTAGGTGAAGATAATCCGAAGCTGTTTGGATGGAGCAAAGAGCTTTGTATTCGGCCCTCGGTGAAGTGGGGTCACATTTGGAAATACAAACACAAACATACCTCACATATCTTGTACATAAATTTGCGGGGAAGCTTGCCAAAGAGTTGGAGCTAGTCTTTTAGGAATGCAGCAAATAAGGCGGCCAAGAGGACAATGGGGGATGGTTGAGGAGGGGATACACAACCAGCATTTCTGGATCTGGGAACAATGTAGCATTCAGATCAATGATTGGTCAAGTCGTCCTAACTAAGTAAGAGAATGGGTACTATTTTATTCATGTACCTACATAATCCCGAAATATAGTTTCAAAAGCTTCGCGGCAGTTCTGGTCTCATCGAAGATCATCGGTACAGTGTAAGTGATATCGGGCGAAAAGCGTATATTAAAAGATAACCCACGATCGCAGAATTCGGCATAACACAACTTTATTTCCCCGGGCGTAGTTATTTATCCGCAATAATACCTAGAGCTTACTGTTACATGGGAGCTTCCATCTTAGCGGGTCAAGTACGTGCGCGTCTTTGGAATTTTCGGCATCTCCCCGAGTAGGATGCTCGCGCAGCTTATATGGGATAATCTGGCTGCTTGCGTCTCCGAAACACCGAGCCTACTATGCTCAAGTCATTACTGCTGTGATTTCCGCGGATCGAAGAGCAGGGATGTCGGCAAACATGAACGGTGTGTAACTTTGAAAGTTGTATGATATTTTCCATACCGCCTTTCTCCAGTCTACATTTAATTTACAGAGTAATAAATATAGCGCCAACCATTGCGATCCCTAATAACATTCCGCTTGCTTTGTCCGCCACGGCTGCACTAATAGGAACGAACGGTGTCTGGGTTGGTTTTGTAACAGATCCAGTTCCTGTGCTGCCAGCACTTCCATTCCCAGTCGTAGAGTTCCTTGAAGCTGAGGACGTCGCCGGGCCGGGGTTCGTAACGTTGAAGAAATTGCCGGCTAAAACTTTGTCCGCGAGTCCAGCTTGTGTTAAGACAGTCAAAGCATCAAAACCCAAACGGGTTGCAGCCGCATCCTTAAGGATATTCAAGTTGGCTTCTGTGGCGCTTGATGTATCTACCAGGATTTGGGTATATCGATGAGACAGCGGAATCCTCGCGGGAGGTGCCGGCCCGAGATATTCTGCAAATGCTCCTTGTCCTTGAGAATCCTTGAATACGAATGCATTCGTACTTCCTGTTGAAGTATTTATCGGTGTCGCCGCCGCACTCTGTGTGAGACCAGTTTGCATCCAATGCAGTAGAGTGTTCGTATTCGGCGGGCTATCCGTCGGGATATCGAGGTCGATCATCAATACCGCGAACGACGTCCCATCAACCTTAGACTGTGTTCCTATGGTTGGAGCTGTTTGTGTTGCTACAATTATTGTTAGCAAACCTGGGTTATAAGTAAGAATTCTGGGTCTAAGACTTACCCGCTTGTTCTAGGACATTTCCATCTGCTGCGGCGACATCGCCAAAGGAAACTAGCAGAGCAGATGTCGTCCCAGGTTCGAAGCCTTTAGGAGTGGAAGCCAGAGTTGCGGATGCACCCGCTAGGATGAGAAGGGATTTGCACAGCATCTTGATGAGATGGGACGAGATGGTGAGATGAGATGAAATTATGACAGCGTAGATTGACCAGCAATATGAGTGAGTTCAATAAAAATCATGAACCGAAGCTGATCAAACAGAAAAATCACTAGGAACGAGACATAGTGGATATATTTGAATGACTTACAATATGGAGCATATGTCATGGACTTACTGTAAAACCCGTGACGGCCATGTAAAAGCCGCGAAAATCTCCGTAACACATTCGATGTTCGCTTCATTTCGCGTCTCATCGGATGAAACGGGAGTGCGCGGACCTGCGACAGCGCCCAGAACCCGGGCATGAACGATGACGAAGGACTGGGATTGATATTACCAAATATTGCTAACATTTGAATAATCTTCAAGGTTCCTGGTTCCTGGTTCACTTACTCAGCAGTTCATACGGAAAAGGTCAGTGGAGTTTATTGAAATAGGTAGTTGGTTAGTTGCAGTTCGCAAGCAGTATTCATGTCTAGTATGTAGACACTATTCCCAAAATATGGTTAAGCGGTGATCTCTTCCCCTTTTTAGAGAAATGTAGAAAGGTCTGCCGGGGTGCAGCTCTTAGCGTGTTTCTTAATTAAGAAACTCGTTTCGATCAACGTCAATACATCTTTCTTACAGATTCTTACATGATAACCTTATTTGATCTTGATATGATAGCTTTAATATCCTCTTTTTTATATACCTACCTAGTCAGGTTCGAGTTAATATACGGACTACTTGCAAATGAAATCACGATATGAAAAGGCCAAAATTGAGAATGGTTTAGGTTGATCCTTACCTTAGGTACCTTTCAATGCGATCCGAACCAACACTCTTAAATCCAGTTCATCTCTTAAATCCGGTTCACCTCTAGAATGACCATGTCAAGATATCAGAAAATATCTTATTTCTATGATTTTAGCACTTAACTAGATGCACTACCATCTATCACTTTGAATAGTTTTATTATTCTCTTACATTCGCGAGGCTGACCTGTCGTGGGAAGACACAAAGTCGCTTATATCATTAAAAACGACATGTAATAATTTATCCCGACCCCCGGAGAGTATATCTATTAGAACGATTAACTTTCGGTGGAGATATTATCTCTTCCATCTATGTAAGTAGAAGGTATCAAGTTCCAACGCCCCTGTCTTAAATAATCTGCCTTACTAAAAAAAAGCTGCAGTGATTGATAACCTGTCAAATATCGAGTTGATAGCCTTCAACAGCATTCACCCTGGTTTGCATGCGAATGAGTAGTGAGGCGTTTACGGTCAAAATCGATCGTATGATTGGCTACGGGTCGGACGTTGGGGTGGACTCGGCGAACCAGCCGAGGAGGCCTCGGACCTCACAGCGGTCGGTATTAGGCCTCACGATATCCACTTGAATGGACTGTTAGGCGAATCGGCGGTGCTTGAAGCCTCATCACGATGCTGCGTATTCCCTTATTAGCTTCCGAAGGCTAAAGTACAACATGATCAGCGGTTGACCGTATCTAATCGATGTTTCACCCCTGCTGTTGGTATCGTTGGTATCGTTGGTATCTATTAGTATAGTTACACAAGCCCTTTGTTCATCAAGTATGAAGGCAGATTACTGGTTCTTGTTACATGTAGATGATGCACTATTGTACTGCTGTACTGCTGTAAACGGGTTGTAAGAGGGCCAAATTAATGATGCAAGAAATGGAAGTATGCCTACCTTAGGTAACCTACGTAGGTACCTATCACCTAGTTACTGTGCGTGGCCGCCTCGCGACCCATAGATGCCTTGTGCCTGCTGTTTAAGCCGGCAGGTTGCCTACATCATCTTTCTCTGTTGTTCTTTTTTTTTTTTTTACTTCAACTTCTCTCACTTACCTCATTCTAGTTATTTCGATGCACAATTTTGTGCCTTAACCACAATAGTGAGGTATCTATTTTTTTCAGTAAGGCCGCGCACTCCTTATAAAAACAAGGCTGCCAACAACATCTCTTTTTCCCTTGCAGCTCTGTTTGTTCTATTCAATCATCGCCTAACTAAGATCATTCCACGTTGCGATAATGGACAGGTGAGATTACTCCTTTAATCGCAAGCAAACCATATCACATTTCACAGAGTAGTTGTTACGACCTCAAAGTTCCCGCTTAGCTGACATGCACATCTAGAAGAAATCGCGGGTCAACCCCAGGTCCGTGTCACCATTTCTTCAGGGTTGGAAAATGTAGATTTGGTGCAGCATGCAAATTCTCCCATGATGCATCATCTTTATCTTCGTCAGGTTCACCTGGGACATCAACAGGGCGCAATGACAGACAAGGAGGACAGGCTCCAGTCCAAGACCGTCTCCGGGAATGGAAGAGACTACTCAACCAACCCCCATCAAACTCACGTTCTACTTATTCGTTTGCTTCTACAAACCAGCAGGCGTGCGACCGTTTTTTCACGCTTGCTCTTCAATTAATGGAAGGAGATATTGGGGCTTCCCAAGAAACAGTGAAGCTTATGGCCCAAGATCCTGGTCTCGCATTTATTAAAAATCTCGTCGATCAACAGATTCCCCTGGCCGAGAACAACTTCACTAAAGCACACCTATGGAAGAGTCAGATACAGCCACTATTCCAAGTCCTCACTCATCCTCGTGTTGCTGATTCCAATGTACTTGAGCAACAAGTTGCTGCCATTTGCAACTTCATCCTAGGGATTGGTGGGAGGCGAATGAGTACTCTATATGACTTTATCCTAGATCTTCTAGGCTCTTGGTCACATTTGCCTATGGCTAATGATGATCAATACGGGGTTTCTGCATGTGAACTTTCGCTTTCGGTCCTAGCTACCGTGATCGACTGTAATACAAGTAACATTGTTAACGATAACTTCACCAGAATTGTCAAGGGTTTCGAAAGTCCCATCCAAGCTGCCAACCTTTCTCCAAACGAATTCTCCAGAGCCCAAGCTCGGAAACACTTACAGTACCTTCAGCGGCGTCTTAAGGTTGGTGATGCACTAACCGAGGCTAAGACAGCAAAGAAAGCTCCGGTGACTCGAGCTGAATTTATTCTACGCAAAGATTTGCCAGGACGACTTTCAGCAGACGGCCCACGACACGATAATGATCACACTGACATATGCGATATTAGAATTCTTCCTACGCATGAAGAAATTACTTCGATACGTAACGAATACTTGCCAACTACCGACCCTTCTTTATTTCATGTACCCGGAATTCGTGGGCGCCTTGACAGAGAATTCCGCCTACTACGAGAAGATACAGTAGGCCAGCTTCGAGATGCAGTTAGCGCACAACTCAAGGCAATGAAAGATCCCAAACGCAAGCAGGAGCATGGTAACGGAAATTCTATTCGTACATACGCATATCAACAAGCAGAAATCGTTGATGCTAGCTTTGATAGAATCCAGGGCATGGATTTGCTAGTTCAATTTCTACAACCTACATCTAAGAAGAGTGTCCAGCAGCGGAGGGATTGGTGGAGTAACTCCAAGCGTCTTCAACCTGGGGGCCTTGTCTGCATGCTTTCCGGAAACGATTCCGTCTTGTTTTGCGTGGTTGGTGATAGTACTATCATAGCGAGCGACCAAAAAGGCGTTAGAAAGGCGGAAGAGAACGAAGAGCCCTCGAATAAACCATCTCTTGCTGATGAGGATGTATGGGCTTATGTTCATCTGCACCTTGTCGAGGCCCGTCCACATGATATCGGTCAAGCACTTCGATGGTTTCAAAATATCGGCCCCGAACAGCAACGATGCCTTGTGGAGTTCCCTCGTGTTCTCCTTCCCTCATTCCAACATACACTTATAGCCCTTCAGCGAATGTCGAAAAAGTCCGATGTGCCTTTTGACGAATTCATTGCTCCAGCTAAGGCGGAGCTTGATCTGGGAGTCAAAGATGTCGGTCCTCCCCAGTACACCACGAAGCCGAATTTCTCCTTCGACCTCAGCTGCCTTACGCAAGATAATGCAACTCTGCGTCATTCACCCCGAAGACCGCTAGACCCACGAGAGTTAGCAAGCCATTCATCTCTTGATGCAACTCAGTCTGGCGCTCTTTTAAACACATTATCGAGAAAGCTGGCTCTGATCCAAGGACCTCCAGGTACTGGAAAAAGTAAGCATCAATCTTTAGTATCCTTTGCGCTGTAAAATGCTTTTTTTTTCTTGTCTTTTTTCTAGGAGGATATGTGTCTTAATAGTGATTCTATGGGCCGTGGATGAATGAAAAGTACTAACGTGAATAAATACAGGTTTCACCGGCGAGAAGATAATAAAGGTGTTACTTGCAAATAAACTCCAGGCTGACCTCGGACCTATTCTCTGCGTGTGTTATACCAACCATGCCCTAGATCAGTTGTTGGTGCACCTGATGCGCGATGGAGTCAAGATTATTAGAATCGGGTCAAGGTCGAAATCAGAGGAGTTAGAGGGCCTCAATCTCCGCGCCGTGGCCAAAACTGCGGATCGTACTAAGGCTGAAAAGGGCTCGATGTGGGAATTGAGGTCAGAACGCGATGAAGATGTCCGTACGATAACACAGTCCATCAATGATCTTGCAGCTTGCCAAACTCCAGTTTCGATTCGAAACTACCTTTCTATACATCATAAAACCCACCACAATGCTCTATTTGGGATTGAAGATGAAGAGGGATGGCAACAGCAACAGCGTCGAAAGCCTGGCCAACTCCTCGGCCAATGGCGAACTAGTGGCCAACGTGAAAACCACGCTCCTCGCGAAATAGCTCAATTAATTTATGCGGATGTTTGGACCATGAGCAATGCAGAGAGAAAACGTCTCTACAATTATTGGCTGCGAGAAATACGCGACCCGCTGATAACCGACATCATACAGAAGTATAAGAGTTACGAACATACCACAGATGAGTTAGACAAGGTGTCTCGTGACGTTGACCTGCGATGTCTGCATGAAGCGGACGTGGTTGGTGTTACAACTACTGGGTTGGCGAGGAATCTTGGTCTCCTCCAAAAGCTAAGATGCAAAGTCATGTTGTGCGAGGAAGCAGGAGAGGTCCTCGAAGCACATACCTTGACTGCCCTCCTCCCCTCTGTCGAACATGCTATTTTGATCGGCGACCACCAACAGCTAAGACCCCAGATAGTAAACTACGAACTCCAAAGTACGAATCCAAGAGGTGGTCAATACTCCCTCGATGTATCTCTATTCGAGCGTTTAATCCAACCGCCATATGATACAGACCCGAAATTACCATATGATACTCTAGAGACCCAAAGGCGAATGCACCCCAGTGTCTCAGAGTTGATTCGATCAACCTTGTACCCTCGGCTTGAAGATGGTGGCCCGGTAGCTCAATACCCAGAGATCTATGGTATGAAAAAACGGTTGTTCTGGATGCATCACGAATCACCTGAGGATCGAGAAGTTCAGCCCGATCCGATGACAACTTCACGTACAAATACCTTTGAAGTCGAAATGACTATAGCACTCGTCCAGCACTTGGTAAGACAAGGATCATATGGTTCGGATGATATCGCTGTCATCACACCATATCTAGGGCAACTTAATCGACTTCGCCGCGAGATGGCGAAATTATTTGAAATTTCTGTTGGCGAGCGAGATCTGGAAGAGCTAGAAGCTCTCGATGCTGATCAACTAGCAGCCGATAATATAGCTCTTCAACCCCACAAGCCCGTCACCGTCAAGAAAACCCTCCTGAAAAGTATTCGATTAGCAACTGTCGATAACTTCCAGGGCGAGGAAGCGAAAGTCGTGGTAATTTCTCTCGTGAGGAGCAACGCCGCGAAGGATTGTGGATTCTTGAACACGTCTAATCGTATCAACGTACTACTATCTCGAGCTCAACACGGCATGTATCTGATCGGCAATGCAAACACTTATAGACATGTGCCTATGTGGGCGAAGGTCTTAGATATTCTTGCAGATAACGAAAATCTAGGGGCTCAGTTGGAGTTGCATTGTAAGAATTTCCCTTTATTGAGCCATCGAAATACTAACCGTCAATCTTCTAGGTCCACGTCATCCCAACCCTGATACACCCCTTTTAGTATCAAAGGCTGACGATTTCTTGCGAGTCGCACCAGAAGGAGGATGTATACTCCAGTGCGACAGACGTCTCTCGTGCGGACATTCATGTATCAACAGATGCCACCATGAGAATCTACACAACGCCGTCAAGTGTTTGGAGCCTTGCCCCAGACCTAAGAAGGGATGCCAACATCCTTGCAAGTTGCTTTGCGGCGAACCTTGCAAACCTCGATGTGATGAATATTTACAAAACATCAATATTACTCTTGCCTGTGGCCACAAAATATTCGCAGCATTATGTTGGCAAGCGCAAAACCCCTCCAACATCAGCTGCAAGCAAATAGTCTCGAAGACTGTGCCTGGTTGTGGACATAGCGTTGATGTGCCTTGTCACACAGACGTTAGCGTCGACACTTACAAGTGTGGAAAGATGTGTCTCGACCCTCGGCCATGTGGTCATAACTGCCAGAGTCAATGCTATAAATGCAAGGAGAGGAAAGAAGGCAGAATCGTCCAAGCAGTCCACCCTATCTGCAAGCAAGCCTGTGGCCGAGCATACACAACATGTCGCCATACCTGTCAACAGCCATGTCACGGCGAAACCGAATGTCCGCTCTGCCCAGCACCATGCGAAGTTAGGTGTAGCCATTCTAAATGCAGCAAGAAATGCCACGAACCTTGCGTGCCATGCGCCGAGCAGACTTGCGCATCCAGCTGTCCCCACGCGAAGTGTACTATGCCCTGTGCAGCACCTTGTGACTGGGTACCTTGCTCGAAAAGGTGCGAAAAGGTCTTGAGTTGTGGACATCAATGTCCATCTGTATGCGGAGAGACGTGCCCCAACGTGAAATTCTGCCAAACTTGCTGCTCCGAAGAGATAAAGTCGGTTATGGTAGATTTTATCATGGGTATGCAATATCATGAAATCGACCTAAACGAGGATCCTTGTATCTTCCCGGACTGTGGACATTTCGCCACCAAGACCAACATGGATGGCATCATGGATATGAAGGCCCATTACAAGATGTCGGCTGAGGATAACCCAGTGGCCATCCTCAACACCTCTGAACCATTCTCCATGGAGGAGGTAAAAGTCTGTCCGACTTGCCGTGGATCCCTACGTAGTATCTCGCGATATGGGCGAATAGTCCGACGAGCCATGCTCGATGAGTCCACCAAGAAGTTCGTTTCTTGGTCTCAGATTGAGTATAGCAAGCTTGCAGAACTTCTACTCGATGTGCAGGGGCGCATCTCAACAGCTCCACCCCCTCCCCGAGTCTTACAGAAAGATACCCGCTCTAACAAGAAAGTCTTTTCGGCTGGCCGTGTGAAACAGATCCAACTTATCCGCGACTGGGTAGGAGACAACAGATATGAAGAAGCTTTTAAGCTGTGGCAGCGAATAAACAATTTCCTCGGGCAGGTGAGAAGGGAAGAGCAGCCTTTCCAGCGCGTTAACGACTTTGTCCTACATGCAACGCGACAGCAGAAAACTCAGGGGGTATTTGCCTTTGATGAGACAAGGATCCAGATTAAGGGGCACTTACAGGCATGCACGCTTTCCCTAAAATGCGATATTATCGTCGTTACCGACTTCATGAAGCAGCGAGATTCGCTGACAGAGAGTCGAGGGGAGCTAAATCTGGATTTCTCCCTACAGTTGGATGAGTGCGAGTCTCTCGCAGAGCGTGCCAAGGCCACGGGATATCCCAGACAAGAAACTGAGGCTCACGTATACTTTGCACAGTTTTGCGCCTTCAGCCGAGTGTTAGTCTCAGCCGAGAAAGCAGAGGATGGGTCTAACACCAACGCTGTAAAGGCCGAAAAGTTCAAGGAAAAAGCTAAGGAACACCTAGCTCTCGCTCGTGAACTAGTCGCGAAGTATAACGACCAAACCAAGGGGATGATGGCGGAGATCGAGGCGACGGAAAAGATGGTACGTGATAGCGTATTCTACGATACTGTATCTACGGATGAGATGCGGGCGGTATACCGTGCTATGGCATCTGAGTTCTCCGGGACCGGCCACTGGTACAAGTGTGCGAACAACCATCCATTTACAGTTGGCGAGTGCGGGATGCCAATGGAGCAAGCCAGATGTCCGGAGTGTGGAGCGCCCGTCGGTGGTACTAACCATACTCCTGTTGCGGGAGTTCAACACGCTAACGATATTGATAACCTGGCTCGCGGTCTAGGTGGACTAGGAATTAATTAAGCCGTAGGTGTTAGTTTAGGTGCCGTCTTTACGATGCGAGGTCGATCGATAGATGTATAGGGGACAAGGCCATATCTGACCACTTTGCCGTACGATCATCGCCCGGTCCAGATGTAATTCATTATTGCTTTGCGCAGATTTTATTAATAAAATGCGTCCTGCTCTCTATGAGAAGCCATTGCTACATATTTGCCCATAAAAGATCGGTTGTAGCGCAGTCACGTAAAAGCCTACTGGATGAAATAATCAAGATCTTCATAACGACAAAGGAGAATAATCCCATTGAAGACTACATATATAATACTATGGAATATGCTCATGTCCTCCATCTATCCGCCTTTTATACGCGAGGCGATCTAGAAGTTTGTACCAGCCGGTTTAGTACGGAAAGAGAGACAAGTAGGACATTCATCTTTCCTTTTTTTTTTCGCGGAAGTCCTCCAGGCATAACGACCGTTAGTAGTAGGTAAGTCGGCAGGTAAGTATTGCCAAACTATCTCCCTTCTCTATATACCATTCTTTGGAAGCCTTTAACCCGAGAGGCGACAAGCCACTTGATTTAAGCAGTTTGTCTAGTACACCTGGACGGAGTCGCCGAGCGTAGTCGCACCGACAACGGGGCTGGGCGCATCCTTGGACGCGGTAGCCTCGACGGGCTCGTCCTCCTCGGTCATGCCGCCGAGGATCATGGAGCTCGGGGCTAGGGCTTGGATCTCGGGGGGGCTGGTGAAGGCGAAGAACTTCTCGTCGTGCCACTGGCCGGCGGTGATGAGACGGCCCTCGCTGTCGGTGAACATGACGTCGTTCTCGGCGCGCAGGAAGTAGGCGATGGAGTAACGGTGCTCGGTGGGGTCGAGGGGCACGACGCGGTGGATGCAGGATTGCATGGTGTGTCCGCTGGCGAAGCGCAGCGAGTCGCCCACGTTGATGACCGCCATACCGTCCTTGGGCTCTACGAAGCCGAATTCCTTGGCTCCCGGGGGACGCACCTGCAGACCCCACTGCTCGGCGAATAGGAAGGTTAGCGAGCTGATGTCGGTGTGCTTCTGGTGGCCGATGTTCTTGGCTGTGGGGTCGGAGGGGATGTAGTGCATCATGGCGATCGTGCTGGTCGAGGGTCGGTCGTTGCGGTGCGTGTTCTCGAAGCGCGAGGCACCGGTGAGCCCGAGGCCGGTGGAAAGAGCTGAGAGGATCGTCTTGGTGGCGATGTTGGCGCCCGCGATGGCGTGCTCGAGAACCTTCATGTCCGGGCTGTTCTTGATGACGGCTGGTAGGTGAGGGCTGTCTTTCTGGATCTCGTCGCGGGAGACCTTGATCATCTCGTAACCGTCCTTGGTGTTCTCGAGGACACCGGTACGCGAGCCAACGGGCTCGTATCTATTTTACTCACTTGTTAGTAAGGAATGTTTCTTTTTTGTCTTTTCCTTTTTGCTAGCTAGCTAGCGAATTAGCCAGGTGTCACTCACCCGAGATGCGGTGCAACAAGGCCAAACTCGTTCTTGGCCTCAAGAGGAGCATCGAAGAAGCGGTACATGAGCTTCAAAGTGTCCTGCTGGTCCTCAAGCATCCTGCGGCCGTCAATGCCTCTCAGGTCCAGGTAGAAGTATCCTGTTTCCTGGCAGCAGCTAACTAGCCTCTCGATCTCGGCAGGCTCTTGAGAGAGCAGCTTCGAGAAGTCGATGATCTCCATGGGGTAGACCGGGACCTTCTTCCCGTTCCACTCCACGGTCTGGGGAACATCGGTTGAGATGGCCATTGTAATTCGTCTGCTGGCTTTGGGATAGGTGAGATGTAAGTTAGGGTCGTCGATGTCGATAGAGATAAGGACAGCGTTCGAGGTTCCTTTTCATCTTATCACTCGCTAGCTCCTGACCCCTTCTACTTTATAGACAGACGACGATGATGAAGGCGTTGTCGGAGCTCTATCCTCCATATTCTTGGGGAGTCTGATGTAACTTCCCCCTCCCCCACACTGCCTTTTGTCATTTATCCATCTGCATCGTAGATGTCACTTATTCAATCCTGTTTTGATTCTCGCATGGGATTTACACGACAGCTCTAGGGATGCCAATGGGTGACACCACCTCTTGGCATCTTATCGCTATCGAAAAGAGTATACGCTCTTAATCTCAAGTTTAGCCGGTTTGGAGTCTCGTACCTAGATCGTTGGCCCGGCTGCAACCCTCCGCACTCTATACATATCTAGCCAGCTTCGAGGACCCTGCGAGGACACGAATCGCGCCCAGTCGGCTTCCCAAGAAGTGTCGTATATATTATACACGACGCCAAGCCCGGCAGATGTGTCTGATAGCTCTTTAGGGTTTATGTGGGATTGAGCAACTTGAAGCGACGATCTTATTGTTCGCATATCCCCTGGCATTGACTCCGCACTCTTGGCTTCCCAGGCCCGCCGAAAAACAAATCCCATACAATGGTCCATACAATGGTCCATACAATGGTCCATACAATGGTGCCGGAGCCGATAATGTTCTCGCTAGCGATGAGCTTGATGTCCTACGAATGCAGCATTTCCCCTCATTTTTCGCCATGGTGGTATATTGGATGGCGAGCTAAAATAGGAAATCCCCACAGAGTCTAGAGGCCTCGTGACGATCTGCCATGCCAGTAGTGAGGCGATAAGAGAAAGTGAACCGAGTTTGAGGTAACCTAAGTCATCGCTTACTTATTCGGCGATAGGGGCTGCGATTAAATGCGGAATGAGCCTGATAAATTGGTATCCGTTCCGAGTTTACCAGTGTTCTTCGTCGTTGTCGTATAGACAGGGCCCCGTACGTAATAGGAACTAGGCGGAAGCGTGGCAATATTCAGAACCCTTTTGGCAATACCCTGATTACCTTCTATATAAGCTTATAATAAATGTTGTTCAATTCTTTGCTTTCTATTTATGAGAGTTGTATAACCTTGTTAGGGCCATCTAAGACCAGAATCATACCGTAGGTAGGATACAGAGAAGTAGATAAATATGATGATCATTACTCAGCTATGGCTTCATGCCGTACCACTTATTCAAATAAATTACCGATCCATAGTATAACCTCCTATAGCCTCTACTTGATGAGCAATGAAAAAAAGTTTATACTATACTTGAAGCAGATGTCAGACTATCGGCAATCATTAAGCATAAATATACTGGCCAATAGAACATCTACTAGTTACTTAAATATGTCATGAGTGTATCTTAAACTGTTCAGGTACTATCTTATTCTTATTAGGGTATTTTAGATTAACTACGTTATAATACGTCAAAACCTCGAGTGTGAATGAGGTATACATTGGTATAGACAACAACAAAGGGTGATTGAACTCGCATACTATAAGTTTAATATATAGGTACATATGTATATTTTACGACAGGCGGATTATGGAATATGTTGAGTTATTATAACAGATTGGATAGTCTTACTACCCAGTCGGTACTAAGCACTAAGATACGGATGGGGAAAAGGTTCAAGCAGGTTCCTAATATTACTAAGACTAAACTGAAATATGGCATTTATTTTATTATAAATAATATAATAGTTTATCTTTAATTATATTGCTATTATATAAGGGTTATGGTAAAAGTAGCAGTAATAAATGGAGAGTTTAATAGGATGGATTAGGAAATTGCATTAGCTCTTTCTATACGGAATATAACTGAAGTAGATTTCAGACAGTAATAGCTTTACTTACTTTTCGGGAGGATACTATATAACGGTCCAGTTGGCCGTCTACGTAAGTGCATTGAATTATATCGAATTTGTAATTCTTACTTTCCAGAAACGAACATCCAACAAGCAAGATTATTGTATTATAACAAATATCTTGGGTAAATTTCTACTCTCGATATTTAAAAGAAAGATACTTGGCTCAGTAACATTTATATAATGTATTCACTGTCGGTTTGGGAGTTAATGTGTGAGTTTAGAAGTAAGCTTTCACAATAAAATAAAGCCAGTCATATTAAAAGAACCGCATGCTATTTCCCCCCTAGGAAAATAGAGGAGTAGAATTTTCTAACCATCCCAACCATAGTAAATATTAAAGTCTGCGAAGACTAGCCGTAATGAATCATTCTTAATGCAACATTTGATAAAGGAGAATCGCAGTTTTATCATCAACTCCTTGGACCACGAGGTCAATTTCTCTGCCTTGAAAACGCCCTTTCCTTGAAACGAAACCCTCGTATATCCCTTATTCCGTATTCGCCTTCCCAGTATTACCGTCCCAGCTAAGCTCCTGACTTAATCCGACGAACTGGGAGAACCACCCGCATTTGCGCACTGCGGACATCTTTCGCCGGTCCTCTCGACCGTCTCATGGTCTTCTAACACGTCATACTGAGAGCATTCATCGCTGCCGTCCTTATCGCCTGCGGAGGAGTACTTGAATTTCCAGAATTCGCATGCTCTGTAGTGGTTGAAAACCAGATGTCTCTTATTTTTGCGAGGGTTGCAATCATATAGGTACCAAACTTCTGTGCACATCTTGAACCAGGTGTCGTGGTGACGGTTTTAGGCAACCCTTCGAGGGCGCAACTTGAGAGGTATATAAATGAATGAAGTTGTGTAAAGGTCTAGGTAGTCTGCGGTGGAGATGCGGCTCAATTATGATGAGTATTATGAGTTGAGTTTAACTTTGACTTGATCGCTTCCTTTGCCCTTGTGCTTGCATAAAACTTAAAATGTGTATAAGGTTTAATCATTTGAGAATGATAATGATGCGTCTGTAGAATAAAATAAAGGCGAACGTCTTCATATGAGACAATCTTCATCTTTGACTCACCTCCCGAGGTAGAGCTCAAACAATAGCCCTTCACATTTCCTAAGAGAAGATGTATTATTAATGTCATCCATTCGAACTTTACTAACCAGCCTACTGAAATAAATTTGGTTGTCTCTCACGGAGAGGGACTACCAGAGAGGAAATATCTAAAAGTTCTTGGGAAGCATGTGAACAGGGTAGTATTTTCTACAGGCATAGCGATCCTGCCGCCGCGC